TTTACACGATCAGTGTCGTAAATTCTAACAGAAAAGGATGCCTAATGTTTGACAGGTTATTCAGAAAAGGAAGGGTCGTTCAGATTATGGCAGTATTTCGGAAAATTTTGGCTTTTCATCAACATGATACTTAATACTATAGTGGACCTTTTGATGTTCATAGCCACAGTCATCTTTTTTAAGGATACAAAAACTCCAATGGCGGCTCCGCCTAATTCTGCGTCTAATGGGAGACGAATAGTTCACAGGATAATTAATTTGGATGATTTGAAGTTGGTGAAAAATGCTATGAATGTGGTAAGTAATTTGGACATTATAAATGAATAAAGTTGATATTTGTTGTTGAAGTTAACTGATATTGTTGCATGCATTTTCTCCACAGACCATAAATGATGTTGCCCTGGGAATAACGCAAGCTGGTTTATCTAAATATCTCAATAGGAGATATGGTAAGTTATTTAGTCATAAATTCTGGGAAATCAAGTAGCTAGGATCTCGAATATTTATACTTCTCATAGGCGAATTCAATATTTTAATTTTTGAGTTCAATTCTTATGTTCTGATTTTAATATTTGTTAAAAGTTAGTAATATTCACCAAATAGCTCCACTCCATATAAAAAATATTGAGTTCAGCTGAACCTGCTTATTATATGTTACATGTTTCTGATTTCCACTATTTTTCCGACTATTTACAGCCGTTGGTAAGGAAGATAAGGGAGCCAACGAGAGAAACAACAATCTTCCCAAGGACATTCGACTACGATCATGTCTTATTATAAACCTAAGACCCTCTGCAGGAATTGAAGTAAACTTTATTCTGTTATTTTTATTGTTGTTATTATTATTATTATTATTATTATTATTATTATTATTATTATTATTATTATTGTTGTTGTTGTTGTTGCTGCTTTTGTGAAGTCGTATAATGACATGACATGAATGAAACAGGATTTAGCTGCTATGATGGAGAAGGGCACAAAACAAAAGGGAGGTTGGGGAAATTGGTTTGGTTATGTGCTCTTACCTTTCAAGATTGCACTGCGTGATGATCCTTTAGATTATGTTAAAGAAGCAAAGGCAACAGTAGATCGCAAGAAACGCACATTTGAAGCTTTAATCACAATGATGTTAGCTGAAGTACTCGTCAAATTATTTGGTGCCAAGGTATATGCATATTCAAATTCAATAAAATTTAGTGAACTTCGATACAGTGAGTTCTTTTCGAGTTACTTAAAAAATAAATATATACACATTGCATAATAAATGTAACTAATTTCTTGAAAAATAGGGCAAGCGATCTACCACAACCAGTTAAACTACACTAATAGCATAAAAAACCCTTTACACTGTCGTCAGTGTATATAAGCTTAATCCTTTAATATATTATTTGTATAAGTTGAAAGTATTAAATTTTTTTTTTATACTTGTAGTGTAATTTTACCGACTATATATACAGGTTATTACCATAACTTTTTAGTTACCATATCATTCAATGAAAAGTTATTGTTATAAATAAATTTAACCTAATGCTGTAAAAAAATTTGATAGGTAGCTACACCAGTGACTGTGAGAGCATTCTCACATACAACAGTATGCTTCACCAACTTGGTTGGACCACAAGAAGAAATTGGGTTCTGTGGCAACCCTATTACTTATCTTGCTCCAGGTGCTTATGGGCAGCCAAGTGTAAGTACTCATCCACTCTATTAATTCTTGAGGCATTTGCTCTTTATAACTACTAATTTGGAGATTAATACGTAGTTAAATATTGTTATGTCGCCAAAATACTATCAGGAAGCATGATAGCTAATTGTAGATAAAATTTATTTAAGCCTGTGTTTACATCAAACTAATGAAAGCAAGGTATGTCTTTCGTGCAGTCATTTAATAGTATCATTTAAATATATATATATATTCTTATTTTAATTTGTGCTAACTATCAAGACTAAATTGCATATGTTGGTGTAAATACTAGGGAAAGTTAAGTTTTTACCCTAAATATACGGAAAAAAGGTTTAAAATGCCCCTAAACTATTGGAAAAGATTTAAAAATAGCCTTCATCCATCTATTGGGCTAAAAATATCCCTCCATCCACTTTTTTGGTTCACTTATACCCTTTGACCGTTAGGTCAATGCTATTTAAAAATAATAATTATTATTTTTGTAAAACTTAAAAAATATTGCAATTTTTTTTTTAAAACTAATGCACCAATAGTCCACTAATTTAGTAAAATCTTCTTATTTTTTTCTTTTCAGTTTTTACAAAAAACAATTCAATTTTTACAAAAAAAATATTTTTTTTCATTTTTTCAGCTTTTTTTAAAGCTTTTTGTTTTTCAGTTTTTTTTAAAAGAAAACATATTTTCGTTTTTTCAAAATAACTGAAAAAATGAAAAAAAAATATTTTGTTGAAAATATTTTTTTAGTTTTTAAAAAACGAAAATATTTTATTAAAAACATTTTTTTTTCTGTTTTTACAATTTGTTTTTAGTTTTTAGAAAAACAATGCTTTAAAAAAAACTGAAAAAATGGAAAAAAATATTTTTTTGTAAAAACAGAAAAAAAAAAAGAAAAAAAGAAGAAGAAGAAGACTTTACTAAATTAGTGGACTACTGGTGCATTAGTTTTAAAAAATAAAAATATTTTGTAATTTTTTTTTAAGTTTTATAAAAAGAATAATAATTATTTTTAATTCATCATTGACATAACGGTCAAAGGGCATAAGTGAACCAAAAAGGTAGTTGAAGAAGTATTTTTAGCCTAATAGGTGGATGCAGGGTATTTTTAAACCTTTTTCAATAATTTAGGGATATTTTGAACCCTTTTCCGCTAAATATATTGCATGAGTCCAAGTCCTACCCAATGGAAAATCACCTCTAGAAGCCTCTTTAATTATTTTGGTTCTTGANTATGTTTTCATAGAGGAAATTGAAATGAGAGGACTGTTTTTTCTTGGTACGACCTAATTAGTTGAAGACTTTAATTTATATGCGCTGATAGTATATAAATTTCTTACATTATCATGTTAGGATAACCTCTACAATAGGTAACTGTGTGTTATAAGCCTATTTTGATAATTTACATACTATAACTAGCTTAAATACACCAATAACGCATTTTTTTTACATTATCGGTATACATGAGTGATATCAATAACATATTTTTCCATTAATTGTAACTCTAGGCACTGATGATCAATATCCAAAGCTATATCAATAAGATGATCATAGTCGTATCTGTTGATGAAAGTGCTATTCCTGATCCACAACAGCTGCTTGATGATTTCGAAACTTCTTTTAATCTCATAAGAGATGCTGTGATTGAAAGAGGGCTTGTCAAGAATCTCAAATATTGAAGTCCGACCAAAGAAGGTTATATAAACATTTATATTGTGTTTTAGAACTTTGCAGTCATTGATCACCAGCTCTATGTATTGCAACTAATTCTCTTCAATATTCCTTTTAATTTGATATCGAAGACATAGTACCATATATTAATGTTCATTTGGGAAACTCCCTTAAAGTTAATTTATTCATATGAATGTATTGCAAATTAATTTGTTAGTGTAAATGTCTATTGTTTTTATTTGGGACTGACGAAATAATAGATATAGTAACGAGGAGTGTTAACATACCGCGTCAGATGTCTATCATAAGTCAAATTGGTCAAAAGTCAAAAGTGGGAAATCCATAAAATGCCGGATAAACTGACATTGAACCACGGTTTTCCTACTCGGTTTAATTTGTGATCCTCCTTAAATACCTCCCATGCAAACAGAACAATTATTGAAGAAAAAACCTAGCAAATAATATACGATTATAGAACAAAGAAGAATTCCTTCAAACGACAAACAGGATCTCAAGTTTCCGAAGAAGTTAACGTCCAGTTTATTTGAGAATGGAATGGTCCCCAAAATGTGCTGCCAATGCGTATCTTGACACCCTTAAGCTGGTTTGTTCCCCTCTTTCGTTTTTTCATCTCTCTACGTAGAATTAAATTGAATTTGATTAGTTCAATTTACATAAGATCTTGGAACAATTAGAATATCATGAAAAAGAGATGATTCTGTTCCAACAATGAGACTAATAAAGTCCGACGACAGGTTTTTCCACAAACCTTATGAGGAGCTCCAGGAACTATATATAATTGTTTGAACATCGAGTTATATTTAGGGACCATCAGTTATTACATGCATGATATATGATTGACTTAATATTTTGATAAACTAAATCTCTTTTTCTGCTTCATGTTGAAGAGATAATTAAGTAAATAAATTGTGCATGAGATAATGACATACTTTAACATGATACTAGAGCAGACAGAGGTCCTAAATTCAAGTCTCACAGCCATCATTATAAAAAATAATTTTCTCGTGCTTGGCCAGTGAAAAAAATGAATGAAGCGTGCAAGCGAGGGGGCGTGTTGAAGACACAATTAAGTAACACTTCATAATTTATTTGTTTAATTTTTTTCTATTTTGACCCTCTCCGTTTCTTTGACTTTATAGGCGGCGGTTTAACTTTGGAGCTCTATAGCAATTTTAGTCCAAAGACATGAATGCAGTTGGAATTTTAATTGAAGAGCCTATAAAAGAGATGATATCACATTCATGCACAAAATTTAATATGCTCAGATATATTATTAATACCTTTATTTAATATATTCTTCATTGTCGTGCTTGAAACACAGAGAAAAATACATCTCGATTTATGCATGATTGGCGCTGTAAACTAAAAAGAACATTATTACTGTGATTTGCTTCTAATGGTTCACATGGCCATAGTTCTAGCATTGAGAACAGCCGTTGCATAATGCATATATGCGACTACTTGGATTTCTAACTGAATACCAAAAAAAAAAATGAAATTGACTGTTTAATTTCCCTTTCCATGCAGTGTAGCAAACAAAATCAGAATTGCGATTCATTTGGAACACAAGAACCCGAGAGTAACGAGTTCATATCAGCACTAGCAGCTGGCCGGCATGAGTGCCAAATTAATGGTAGAAGTCACCTCTGATGTCTCTCCATCAACTGTGGCTTTAGCAGCAGCTGCTCGTCAAACGGGAGGTAAATGTTGAAGTGCATGACCATCTCATCTAAAAATATAAGTCGTTAGACAAATTATACTTTTATTTACTTAATTTTATTTTCGACAGGTAAAGTCGTCTTTATTATTCCGGAACAAAAATTGGACAAGACGCAGAAAGTGATTGAAGAAACAGGGCTAAATGACATGGTAGAATTCAAGACAGGGGACCCTGTTGATGTCTTGCCTAACTACGAGAACATCGACTTCTCTCTCGTTGATTGCAAGACAGAAAACTACGACAAGTTGATTGAAAAACTCGATGGTAATCCCGAAAGATCAGTTGTAGTCACAAATAATGTAGAAAGGAGAAAAGGGGTTAGAGGAAAATTGAAAAAAGTGGAGAATGAGGTTAAAATATATTCAACAAAGCATCATATAGGTAAAGGTTTAGAGGTTACCATGATAGAAAGAAGCAGATTAGGAAGTCATAGTCATGGTCATCAAAGAGGAGAAAAAAAGAGGGGTAAAGTGAAATTGAGTGAAAAAAGCAAATGGGTATTTGAAGTTGATGAAAAAAGTGGTGAAAAACATATATATAGGACGAAAAAATGATTGGGGGTATACATTTTTAAGTGAAGAAAAGAGAGGTGTGACAATACCCTTAAGATAAAGTTACCGATCAATTGCGATCCAGTGTGTGTATATAAACAGAGAGCTACTTTTCTTTTCTTATTAGTTGTTTTAGATTTGATTAACCTCCCTCCCGATCCTTTTCTTTCCTCTTCAATTGCATGTTATTGGGAAGAGAAGGGAAATTAAGGGAAGGGGCTTATCTTGGTTGAATGTAGAAAAGCTAAGGGGAGATGATTTGAAATGAAAACTATGCTTTATTTCTTTTTTCCTTAGTGATAAAGTAACTTAAATTTCCATGCGCCGCGCGCGCACATTGTAATTTGCAAGTCTTCTAAACTTTCTTAAAGAAACTATATACATAAAATAAAGTTAAAATTCATTATTGCTTGATTGCACATTTGAAAATAGATTGATTATAGCTATAATATACATAGGCTGAGCCAAGATTTTAATATTATGGTATGAATTTTAGATTGACAACTTTAAGTGTTGATGAATGGGTTCTAAATTTAATAATTGTACATATTTAATAAATTCTAAACATGAAAAACACTGTTTAAGCAAAAGCTACTGGATTCAGCCGAACCCGTACCTCGGCTTGTGTCTCCGCCCCTTGTATAGGGAAAAATTGAGTTTACATATTGAAGTGATTGAAAGATGACGTGTCATGGCACGAAGGCTGGTCAAAGAATGATGATTAACAAAGAGGCACGAGTTGCAACAGATACGAGCAGAGGCACAAGTAGAGGCATGAGCAATTACTCAAAAGACTCGACGCTCATACCTATTTAGATCCGCAAATTAAGGAGAATGAATCTGACAACACAAGAGAGTACAGATACAGTATTTAATAAGCATTAAATATTAAAAACATTAGAGAATCTGTATTAAATTACAATGATTATATAACGTAACATTTAATGTCTTTAATTGTCTATAATGGCCTGATTATGACAAAGGCAAAACGTATATCTTAGAGATAGCTATAAAAAGAAGAAAACTGGTCATTTGTAAGGACACTAGAAATCATCTGAATATACTGGTTTACTTTGTTTTCTTCTGTCTATCTTATTGTTAGCAAAATCAATTTCCCTTATTCATTTCTGATTATCAGTAACCCGAGTTATTCTAAATTAAAGCTTTGACCGAAGTTCTACTTTTTGGTTAAACAAATTGGTTCAGTTACCGGGAATCTGATAAACATATTGGTTCAGTTACCGGGAATCTGATAATCAATTCTTTCTTAGGCTAAACTTTTTTGTTGCATCAACCATGTCAAACATTAATGACAACACCCAAGGAAACCATCAACTCCAAGGGAATCCACAGGATGATCACACCCCGGTCCCTTCTCTCCAAAGCTCCCCTCGGCGGTCTCGAGAAGGCACTCCTGATGGATCTCATGCAAATGGAAACGCTCAATTTGAAAATGATGAAGCTATCAATGAAGCTTTGCAAAAGCTAATCGCTCAACAGGTCAATAAAGTTTTTGAGGCCTTTGTCAGCCAGTTACCTGTTTCACCACCAACACCCATTCCAAATAACAACACTTTGGAGAATCCTCATTCTGGGCTTGCTAATTCAGGCAGTGGTGGAATCCCCAACGAGTCACGAGAAGGAGAACCAGGTAACTTAGTCAATTCTTATTTACAAAATTTAGTATTAACATTGCAGAAACACCTCAAGGAGCAAAGTGACCGCATAGAGCAAATACCTGGAGTACCGCCCGTAATCAAAGGGATAGATATGGATAAATATTCACAACAACCTTGGAAGCCAAGTGCTGCTCCCCTCCCAATTCCAAAGAAATTCAAAATGCCCGATATTCCAAAATATGATGGAACAACTGATCCACGAGACCACGTGACTACATTCACAACAGGCGTAAAAGGCAACGACTTGACCAAACAAGAAATTGAATCAATATTAGTCAAAAAATTCGGTGAAACACTCACTAAGGGAGCATTAACATGGTATTCTCTTTTACCCGAAAATTCCATAAATTCTTTTGCTGAGCTTGCAGATTCATTTATCAAAGCACATTCGGGAGCTCAAAGAGTCAAAAAAAGAATGAAAGATATTTTCAAAATCAAACAAGGGGACTCAGAGTTGCTTAGAGAGTTCGTGGATAGGTTCCAGTGTGAAAGAATGACGTTACCGCGTGTACCTGACAATTAGGCAGCTATAACCTTCACTAGTAATTTGAATGAAAAAAGCTCAGAAGCCACGAGGCGACTCAAGAAAAGTCTTCTTGAATTCCCAACAACAACGTGGAATGACGTTTACAACAGGTATAGCACGAAGCTAAGGATAGAAGAGGATATTATCTCACAGTCTCAAAAAGAGAAAAAGGTAAGTTCGAGATGAGTGGAAACCGAAAAAAGGTCCGGTAAAAACAGGCACGAACCATATATGGGCCCAGCGAGAAAAATTTCACGATCAAAACAGGACAATTCAAGGTACGATCATAGATCGAGGAATAGAGAGTCGGGCTCATCATCAAGATTTGGGAATGATCGAAACATGCGAGAGTCGCGGGATGATGATAGAAACTTGAAGGTAAGATTTGGCGGTTATAATTTTAATGTGAGCACTTCCGAGCTCGTAGCTATTTTAAGAAGCATGGGTGACAAGGTGCGGTGGCCAAAAGAAATGAGATCGAATCCAAACAGGCGCAATCCTGATCACTAGTGCGAATTCCACAATGATCATGGTCATAAAACGACAGACTGTAGCTTGCTACAAGGCGAAATTGATGACCTATTAAAACAAGGGTATCTCACCGAATTATTTAGTGAGAAAGGTAAGCAAGCATACATAAAGAATAGGCAGAAACCCGCTAAACCACCTTCTCCTAAAAGGACCATTAATGTTATAAGCGGAGGTGAAGATATCAATGGTGTGACGTACATAACAACCAATAAAGTTTCCAAAGTCACAATTACCCACGGGAAGCGGGTGCGACATGTCTTAGAGGAATAAAGTATTATGTTTGATGATGCAGATGCGGATGGCGTATTATCTCCACATAACGATGCACTAGTAATATCTCTACTTGTACATGATACTAATGTGAAACTAGTTTTGATTGATCCAGGTAGTTCCGTGAACATTATTCTGCTAAGAGTACTACGCGAGATGCAAGCTGAAGATAAATTAGTACCAAAGGCGCATACTTTGTCTGGATTTGACAATTCCAGCGTCGTGACGAAAGGGGAGGTAATACTTACTACATTCGCAGAAGGAGTTGTCAAAGATACAAAGTTTCAGGTGGTAGATATGGAGATGGCTTACAATATGATTCTCGGGAGACCATGGATCCACGAGATGGATGCCGTTCCGTTGACCTTACACCAAGTAATTAAATTTCCATCACCATGGGGAATATGTCAAATCCATGGGGATCAACAGACATCCAGGAGCATCAATGCTGTAGCAGATTCAAGTATGAGAAACGAAGAAAAATAATAGTTATAGAATCCGGTTGAGGGTACCACAACGCAAACCTCAACTGAACAAGGGAGAATAGATGTGGACTCAAGGCCTGATGCCATTTAAGAACCAAAGGAAAATGAAAATATCAAAGCAACAATTGAAGAACTAGAGGCTGTAGTGTTATCCACACAATAGCCTGAAAGGAAAGTCTATGTAGGGGCCAATCTAAGCCAGGACATGAAAGGTAAGTTGATTGAATTTTTAAAAACTAACGTAGATTGTTTTGCTTGTTTCCATTCTGATATGACAGAGATACCACCGGAGGTAATGACTCACAAATTAAATGAAGACCCATCATATTCGCCTGTCAAACAAAAGAAGAGAAAGCAAGGAACTTTCAAAAATTAGGTGATTCAAGATGAGGTCCAAAAATTACTAAAAATTGGGTCTATCCGCGAGGTAAAGTATCCTAATTGGTTAGCCAATACTGTTGTGGTACCGAAAAAGAATGGTAAATGGCGAGTTTGTGTAGATTACACAGACCTTAACAAAGCTTGTCCTAAAGATTCTTTTCCATTACCACAAATAGATCAACTAATTGATGCTACTGCAGGACATGAATTGTTAAGCTTTTTAGATGCATATTCAGGATACAACTAGATCAAAATGGATCCTATTGATGAAGAAAAAACTTCATTTATAACAAACAGGGGGACCTAATATTATAAAGTAATGCCTTTTGGTCTCAAAAATGCTGGTGCAACATATCAAAGACTAGTGACCAAAATGTTTCAAGAACATTTGGGAAAACTATGGAGGTCTATATAGATAATATGCTTGTTAAAACTCAACATTCAGGGGATCATATATCACACTTGTCTGATACGTTTAAGATATTGTGAAAATTTAATATGAAATTAAATCTTGAGAAATGTGCATTCGGTGTTGCATCAGGTAAGTTTTTGGGTTTTCTTGTTTCTAACCGTGGTATTGAAGTGAATACTGCACAGATTAAGGCCATTGAAGAGATCTCTGACATGCTTACAAGTAAAAAGGAAGTGCAGAGTTTGACAGGAAGAATTGCAACCTTGGGGAGATTTATTTTTAAATCATCAGAAAAGTGCTTTAAATTCTTTTCAGCTCTTAAAAAGCAAGATCAGTTTGAATGGACTGAGGAATATCAACAGACACTCAAAAATTTGAAGACATACTTATCAAATCCGTCGTTGCTTGCAAAACCAAAAGTTAGGGAAAGATTGCTCATCTACCTTGTTATCTCCGAAGTAGCGGTAAGTGCTGTGTTAGTTCATGAAGATCAAGGTAAACAATCTCCGATTTATTATGTCAGCAAATCTTTATTAGGTGCGGAGACGCGATATCCTCAATTGGAAAAGCTTGCACTTGCACTAATCATGGCATCTAGAAAATTAAGGCCTTATTTTCAATGTCACCCTATTGCTGTAGTAACTGCTTATCCATTACGCAATATATTACACAAGCATGAGTTGTCAGGTAGGTTAGCCAAATGGGATATAGAATTAAGT